TACTTCCCATAGGCTCAACACGCGCCATGCCCCAATCTGTGCCGCATAAAAAAATAACGCCTCCCGGCACACAAAGCACCTTGTATTTGACATACTTTCCGGTGTCTGCGCAGGGACTGTGCCATTTTTGTCTACATATCACTGGTAGAACCTGGTGGGGGAATCAACCCCCTTTTTAACCCCAATTCATAAAACATATCTGCTCCTATATGTTTACAGTATTTGTGCCCTTTTAGATCTTAACTTTACATCAAAGTTGGATATGTTGCCTATACTAATACTATAAATGATGTAACTTGCTGTCTCATACAAGATTTAGTTTCTTTATATTGACACGTAGCAGCACTATGTAAATGTTAAACATACATGGATTTGTTTGAGGCCCATAATATTGCACAGTCATCTCTGACGTATCTCAATCATCTGTACTATGTGGGGGTAGATCCGGGTTCATATTTTGATATTCATTGAATTCTCCTTCTTGTCATTGTAGAGATTAGGATAAATGTGTTTGTGTGTGTGTGTTGGGTGGTTGATGTCTAAGTGCAGCCCCCCCCCCCCCCTCCCCCAGGCCCACTCAGTGTTATTTAGGGCACGCATATGCTTGTTCCCTCTTGTTGAAAGCACCCCCTATCTGAGGACTGCCAACATTTCCGAACCCCCCTTTCGCGGGCTTTTCCTGCCTTGGAGACCCCCTAAATCATGAAAAATGCTCAATGTACCCCCTAAATTCGGAATAATTTCTCAGGAGTCCAAAGAGATGAGAGAAAAAAACAAAAAAACACCCCCTTTTCAAAGAAATCTCCGGGTGAAAAGTTGACCCCTTTTTTGACAATTCTCGGGCCGGACCTTGTCGCACGAAAAGTACCCCTTTACCGGACATTTTGGTAACATGCATGGGGTCCGTCCGTTAATCCTCAGAGTGGGGGGGGGCGGGAAGTGCAGGAATGTGGCCGGTTTATACACATATTTTTCAAACAACCGTACGTGATCATCAGGCTATTATCAATTTCCTCTCGATTTAAAGTTTTGTTTGATGCCGATAATACTGTACAAATACGTCAGAGATGACGTATCTCAATCATCTGTTTTCTTTCAATCGTGGATCCGAGTTCATATTTTACTTATCGAACTTTCCTTCTTGTCATTGTAGAAATGATGATAAATGTGGCCGCTTGATTTAAACTTGTTTGGAATTGATTGTCATATGACCCCGAACTGCACTTTGTCTTCACACCTCAAGTAGGGCTCCCACTTAGCCGAGTTGGAACCTCGAGTTGTGGCGAGCTGGCGCGATCTTATTATTAATTGATATCAAGAAATCAATTCTTGATATCAAGAAATAATTTTACGTTATAAAGCAATGGTAATTCTGGATATCAAGAATTTGATTTCGTGATAGCAGGAATTCGATTTCGTGATATCAAGAAATGAATTCTTGATATCAAGAAATATGTTTTAATGATAAAACTGCTTGCCATAAGATCGCGCAAGCTCGCCACAACTCGTGGCTCTATGTGGGAGCCCTCCTTCAGACACACCACCACATTAAACCCAAGATACACCGACTCCCAACCAACCTTTTCTCCACCATTCTGGGTAATGTAATTTTTGTGTCGGTCTGTCGTTGGTCTTGTTGGTGTGACTGAGGTATCACATAGTTCTGGATACGTGAACCAGTCGGTAACAATTAGAGGAAACCTTGCACAGAGTCCTGAAAAACTAGATGGAACTTCGACTGCGCGCAGTCGAAAAATGATACCTCCTTCATAGAGCAATTTTACAAACCAAAACAGAAGAAATGTTTCAAATTCAAGTTCAATTGCAATCCATTAACAGGTTCTCAGAATATCGTGATTACAAGCAATTTCTCCTATACATATATGACCCTTTGATCTTTGACCTCATGACCCTAAAATCTACTCAGTTCATTGGCTCTGCAAGATGTCCCGAGTTAAATTGTAATCCATCTGTCAGTTCTAATGAGAATGCGTTCACAAGCTATTTTTGCATACATAATGAGCCCCATGACTTTTGACCTGGACCTCATGACCCCAAAATCAAATCAGTTCACCGGTTTTGCAAGTAACATACATGACCTAAGTTTGGCAGGAATTCATCAATCGGTTCTTGAGATAACGCGATCACAAGCTGTTTTTGCATACATAATGAGCCCTGTGACCTTTGACCTCGTGACCCCAAAATCTAATCAGTTCATCGGCTCTGCAAGATACATACATGACCAAAGTTTGGCATGAATCCATCAATCGGTTCTTCAGATAATGCGATCACGAGCTGTTTTTGCATATATAATGAGCCCTGTGACCTTTGACCTTGTGACCCCAAAATCTAATCAGTTTATCGGCTCTGCAAGATACATACATGACCAAAGTTTGGCAGGAATCCATCAATCGGTTCTTCAGATAACGCGATCACGAGAACGGGACGTACGGACGGACAACCCAAAAACATAATGCCTCCGGCTACTTCGTAACGAAGGCATAAAAATTAGGTGTGTGTACGAAAGTGGAGGTTCACTCTAGGGAGGAATCAACTTTGGCGTCACTTCATTCGAAGTGATAATCCAAGCCAAGAATAGCAGAATCTACACTCAAAAAATGTTATTTATTCACCACTTTCAAATGGATTCCACAAAACCTTGCATTGGATTCAATTCAAAATTAAGTGATCCCCTAGAGAAGACGCGATAGCTCAGTGGTAGAGCAGTGGTCTTGTATAACCGGGAGGTCCCTGATTCGAAAGCGAGACGATTCGCCAGTGTCCCCAGGTTGTTTATCTACAAGCATAGACCTGCTTTCTTAGCTGTCAGGTAAAACAAACAAACAAAAAAGCCTAGTATGACTCGTGAAAAGCCTGTTTCCACTCTTCTGCATTGAAATGGTTTATGGCATTTTCTAGTTGATCTCATAGAATAATATTCATACAATACATGGCTTCCCGTATAGGTAATACAATGTAGGGCCAAGGGCGTTTTTCGTTGACCTTGTTTCACATGGATAGTTCACTACCACTATTGATATTAGGCCATTAAGTCTGAACTCTTACAACACCCAATGGCCCGAATTCACAAAGGAGGTTTGTCGACAAACCTCCTTTTGTTCTTTACAAACCAGGTTTGTAAAAAAATAGTAAGAAAATAGGAAAAAAATAGTAAGAAAATAGGGAAAAATAGGAAGAAAATAGTGAGGAAATCAGAAAAAATTGTCGGGAAATAGGGGGGATCACTCATCCTTTACTTTCATGGATTTCTCAAGCACTACCATCTCACACATCCAGTCAACGACTCTGTATATATTCAACTAAATCATACAGTGCAAACTTGATATAAAGAGATCAGTTATACCTAAAATGACAAGGTAATTTACCAGCTTTTGGGGGTTAATATTTCTTGGTTGCACATGACCTCATTGTCAAAAGTTTCCACTGTAGAATAGTCACCCTACTCCTACAGCTCTTTTCTCTGCATCGATGCACCTACTCAGTTTGCCAAATTCACTTCATCCTTTCAGTCTAATCCATTCAGTAGAACATTTAAAATAGTCAAAGGGTATATATAGAAAATGTTATACAGTCCACTCCTATTATAACGAACATGGATACACCAAGATTTTATTATGAGGCAATTCTCATCAGTGCCAATTTTAAACAAACCAATGTGTTCAGTAACTTGAGTATAACATGATTTCATTTTAACAAGGAAATTGGCTTGGTCCCGAGCACCTCGTTATAATGGCAGTGGACTGTAACAAACAAAAAGAATAAAAGGGAATATGTCCAATAAAATACATGTACTTTATTTTCCAGAGGTGAATTTCAGGACTATATTACTGAGCCGATGTGGATATGCCAGACGATCACAAGCTCTCTTCCTCACTAATAACCAAATAAAGCAGTATTCTGGACATGAGAGTGTTGTTTTCTGTCTCTTTTATTACAATTTAATTACAAAGTGCTCTTAATAATGTAATACAATTTTCAAACATCAAGAAAATCATGACAAATAATATTTTGTTCTCGTTATTTACAAAGATAACAAAATAAAACTAGATTTGTAATACTTGTTTGGAACAAGTATAGGTGGGCTGATCCAACAAAAAATTGAGACAAAATAAAGGGTACATTTGAGATAGCTTTTTGTCTCAGCTACAACATACTCGAAGTTCAGCGTAAATGAAGCTAAAACGACGTAGATATTGCTCGCGATAGACAGGAATGTAGAATCGAGTTTTGAGAAAAAATCATGTCCCATAGAGAATACACGCAAAATGTGAAAATAGACATGCCTCCTTTAATCACAAAAATACGCCATGATGCTTTTGTCAAAATAAACAATTGTGATGACTTCATTTGTAGAAAATTGTCTCAGCTTGAACATTTTAAAATTTGGAAGAAAATCAATCACTATTTACAGAGATACAATCAAATTTCCATAAATATGCTGACGTCATAATATGCAAATTGGAATTTTGAGTTCGGAGGCCATTATGATGACGTCATGAGTTAATTGAAGGTCAAATGTGACATGAAACAATATCTCCGAATCATACTCTATCAAAATATGAAAAAAATTGGGGTCATCTTGCATCCTAAAGAGCTACAATGGATTTTGTATACGCATGTTTTTGCCCATATATGCTATGTATTACAAGAGCTCGCGCGCACGGAGATTTATGTTAAACGGTTGATCATTCCGTTATTAATAGTCATAAAGAGACAAACATGTTTTCAATTTGTTTGTAAATATATGTGGAATATTATAAAAGAAAAAAAATGGTGAATATATGTTGTGTAATACTTTTACGCGCGAAAACGCGCGCGCATGCGCGTGTGCGCGATTTTTTCTAAAATGCTTAGAATGGCCTAAAACGTATGCAAAATGATTTTGAGACGATTTTGAGCATTTTAAAATTTTGCGCGCACATTGACGCGCGGACGTACGCGCACGCGCGCATTATTTGAGCTGAAATTAACCGGACGGATATTGACCTTAAGCATGATAAATATGAATGAGTTTTACCTTCTGGTTATGAAGATAAGATCATGAGTTGATTTTCGTAAAATTTTACAAAATGGCACCTAGATGATTTCATCAGTCAAGTTCAAGGTTGAAAAAATTTCTGTGCTTTGTTCATATGTCTTTACATATATGTGCCAAATTTCAAGGATTTTGATCGAGCCATTTACGTGTTATCTTGTTCACAAAAAAGTGGTTAGAAATAAGAAAAATATTTAATAATAAATAAATAAAGGCAATTCTAACGAAATTATAAGGTGGTTTGTACGTTATACAGCCCACCTGATAAATCATAGAACAGATTTTTCAACAATGCACGTATGCTTTATAGTACAGTTGACATGTTACATAATTTTCTCAATCTCAATGGAACTGTCAAAATCTTAATACAATCATCATATTCTAGAAACACTTACTACAAAATCAATGACATGTCATGTCATTGAGATATAAAAATGACAGACTTACATGCTACTATTTTCAAATAGTTTTACAAAGTATACCATCATTACCATTCATAAGTAATGGTCTTATGGTCCTTTATCTTCACAATATGCAGGCACTCATTGTGTACACATACATGTTGTACTTGCCTATGAATCTCAATGATTATTGATTAGACATAAGAATTACATAATAAAATGGAAACAAATACTAATGTAAAGGATACAGATGTTGGTCATGCTGTTCACAGGCATCTAATCGAATGGTGGTTGTACGTTACATGTACATTGTCTCTTGATTAGTTTCAACTTTCAATGGATCTGTAAAGATATAAATGAAATGTGAGTTAGGGGTTAGAATAATCATGCATTGGTACATTTATGAACATGCAATTAATACTTAGTACAAGTATTTATGTATTTCATAATAACAAATTCAGAGGCACAGAACATGTGTGTACAAAAGTATGATAGCAAAAAAGATGCCAGGCTGACGACGAACGGATGGTGAAACAACGGAGTCATCATAGAGCTGTCAAGGTGCATGAAATGTAAACCACTCAGGTAGGCAATTAATTAGATTTTATTTTATTCTTAGATATATTGGGTGAACATACAATACAGAGAAGAAAATAGTAAAGGAACAATTTTTTGAAGAAAAAAATAAAAAGGAAAGAGAAAATAATGTAGGTAGAACTTGTGCCACCTGCAAATTATTTTTCTAGCATAATGATGAGGTAAACTACTCTAATATTTTGATGTCAGATCTTAAAGGTAATACAAAATTTTGGGAAATTTTGAAAATTTTGAAAATTGGGTGGATAGTGAATCTTTACAATTTTGATATTTGGATGCCCCCGTGGATGTATTACAGGGAAAAAAATTAGCCCCTAAAAAACTTCTGTTTTCGAGAAAAATTCAATATAAAAATTTACCGGTGCTCCCGGTAAATTTTGATAAAGTTCAAATAGCGCCTATGGCCGTACATGTACAATGTAACAAGAAACATTGTTTCATAGCTAAATTAATATCTTGACCTTGAGAGGGAGCTATACAACATAAAGAGTTTATTATTTATAATATAACTTTAGACTCGATTTCAACTGCGACAACGATCAATGTATATTGTAGGAACGAATCCGGGCTAACTCGGCCTACTCCTGTAGGAACGCTTCCTATGCTTCCAATACATGACCCAATACTAAACCTTTGTAATACCTTTAGCTAACAAACATGAAATAAATATACCCCAACAAATTATCAACAATAGATTTAGATTTCTACTTATACCCTTTTCTAACTGCACTCTATCGTAGTCACACCGATGAAAATATAGCCTATCCGATATGCGTCGGGCTTTATGGCAAATATACTGATCGCGTTATGGAGACCGACATCGGCGCAGGCGTCAGGCCGAGCGCCTATCATCACTGGTCAACTCATCATTATTCATATAATGGGTATCGTATGTGTGACGAGCGTATTTCATGCATGATTCATAAGACTAACCTTATTTGGTGATCGATCACTTTGATTCAACCAATCAAATATCATCTCCAGGTTCCTCATCGCTCATTGGCCTATTTTGGTCCATGCTACATAAATATTCATGAAAGAGCTTCGCAGGGGGTTCGTAGATTTTTTACGAACGAAACATGGTACATAAAAGAAAATAAAACTTTTCGCATTTACCAGTGATAGGCGCTCGGGCTGACGCCCGCGACGATGTCACTCTCCAAATAAACGCGATTAGCCCGACGCATATCGGATAGGCTAATGAAAATACAGATTGAATCTTCCTTATGTAAACAAAGGTGAAACCGCAGTTTTCCCCGTTGCTTTCTAACTGCCGATGAAATTCTCTCGCTGTGGCGAGCCCATGCCGGAAGTGAAGAATTATTGCGTAATTATTAAGCCCGCGCTCCATCTAGCTAGCATGCAGCATGTTCAACCATAAGTCAACAAACACAGCTGGTTAAGATAAAGCGCGCGTATACTGCGACCTTTGACCATTTTAATCGCTGTTTTAATCGCCTTTTTCTCCCGAACATTTTCTAACTGCACGTTTCATCGGTGTCACACCGATAGAATGAGAATTTAATCGCCTATTTCTCTTCTTTTCATCAGCTATTTAATCGCCTTTTTCTCCTCTGTTGCTTTCTAACTGGCACTTTCATCGGATGCGTCCGGATGCATCCGATGAAAATCGGTGCAGTTAGAAAAGGGTATAAGTAAGGACATTTACCTCGCAGACACATTCTCGGACTTGGAAGACTTGCTCTTCTTCTTGGCTTGCCTGGTGCTTAGCACTTTAATAGCAGGTTGGGTTTTCTGATTCCTAGAAAAATAATTTGAGAAACAATTTAGCCTAAAGCCACATCAAAACATTATATCATGCAAGGCAATATAACTGACAGACGTAGCAATGGTAAAAAATCTGAAATTTCTACGTGGATTTATTGTAATCACGTTTGTTTACATTCACTCATTCACTCAGGTGATCGGAAGTTGGAATCTGAATTAGACAGACATATCGTGTGTGCGTCGCGGTGTGGTCTAGTATGGTGGTGTGACCAAAGTTCGCGCGTGACCAAAGTTCGCGTACTAACACTAAAAGCGCTTATAACAGGAGAACGATACGCGATGCCTGTGTGGGACTGAGACAACGAAATCTTTGAGCACCGTCGACAACTCCAACGGTCAAAATGCGGCATAAAAATGTGAATAAGCTACCTTTTCACGCTTTTTATCATAACAAATTGTGTTTTTTTTACATGAAAATCAGTTTATTAGAGGGATCGACTCCGAAAAATAATGATAAAATTCCAATTTCTTACGCGAAAAACGGAACCTGCGCGCCTGCTTCCACCGTTTCTGTGTTTGTGAATTTCAATGAATCTATGGTTCGTAAGAATACAAATTTAAAAGGGGAAAGAGGAGAGACAAAGAGAGAAAAGAGCGAGAACTCGTGTATGGCTGACATATAAAATGGAGACACATGATAATTTTTTCAAACAAACAAATGACATGCAGATAGGGACTACATTGACATTAACACATAAACATTGAAAAATATTGTCTTTTATTTGCAAAATGTAACATGGGTATTTTTATCGGGCAATATTTCAATGATAGAGAGAAATTATTATATTTTTCAAAGTTTCAATATAAAGTTCGGCTTCTGATTGAAACTACGTAACTTTTTGGAATGTTTACATATTACAAAGCCCATCACAAGAGGGCAGTAAATATCATGCGCGAACTTAGGTCACACTTTTTGACGGACGTCGGTAGTGGTAAGGCTTCCGATATTCTCGTCTTATCATTGATTTGAAGTAAATAAAGCCTTGGAATATTATATAATCTGATTATATGATAAATTACGAATCTTATGACGTATGGAACATGATATATGTTGATCTGGATTTTTTGAAATATGCAAGAAAAGAAAAATATCCGCGAACTTTGGTCACCCCTTCATACATGGGAATATTGATACGTAAAATACCATTCTATACTATGAAGTAGCATTATATTCAACAACAGACACAATAAAAATCTATATATCATAATATAATTAAGTTTCAGATATAAACGTACCTTTTCAGCTGTTTTCTGGGGCCAGTTCCAATTCCGCTCGTCGATGGTCCATCATTCGACAACAAACTTGTATCTCTACGAGTGGGACTAATATTTTGAAAATTTGTCGGGCTCATTTTCTTGGGAAGAATCACTAAAATGGGATAAGGAGACATCGGAGTATGAGGAGTCACTATCTATTGATGAAATTTCATCGCTAGAATAATTGCTGGAAGACATTTTGGTGTGATTTGGAGACGTTTGATGAACGAAAATCAGCAATAAAAGTCCGATTGCGCACAATGATTCAGCAAGCGCACAATGCATTCAGCAAGCGCACGAAAAGCGGTGGGGGAAAAAAATAACGGGTTTCTTTTTTAATCCGTGCTAACTCGCCCCACGGGACATCTCGCCCCCACCTCAAAGACTGGGGCGAGATGTCCCGACCGGGTCCCGACACGATTCATCGATCGAGAGATACCAATATGTGTATTATGTTTGTGCACATTGTACATTTTTAGACGTCACATTCTTTCGTCCTGGCAGTAAATTAGCAGACCACTGGTATCTCTCGATCGATAAATCATGTCGGGATATCTCGCCCCAGTCTTTGAGGCTGGGGCGAGATGTTGCGTGGGGCGAGTTAGCACGACTCCTTCTTGTTCAGTAATTACGTAGGGGTACTTGCGTACTGTCCTCTACATTGAAACTTTACACACACATAGAACGGGAATATCTCGATCGAATGCTTTTCTTTCTATTAATAAAGGAAAAAATAATTGAAATTTCTATGTGTACATTTTCTTTTTACACATGGTTTATTTATGGTTATCTTTGAGATCACTATTCAATATGTGACCCGACAGCTAAAAACCACCAATAAGTCGCAAAATGAACAACAGAGATAAATAATGGCAGGAGATGCCAGTCATAAACAATGAAAATATGTAAGTTTAGAAAATAGACAAAAAATAGTTTACAAATTTGTATCATGTCATAAAAAATTAAAGTGCAAAAAATAGAAAGAATAGTTTGGTACTCGCAAATAGGTAAAAAGAAGTCTGAAAAAGATGAAGGTGAAAAAATAGGGGAAAAATAGTCTGAAAAAGATAAAGATGAAAAAATAGGCCGGGAAAAAATAGTTTTGAAGTCGAAAAGAGAAAAAAAAAATCTTGTTTTTTTTCATATTTTTTTGGAGAAAATAGGAATAAAATAGTCTGAAAAAGATGAAGGTGAAAAAATAGTTTGGTACTCGAAAATAGGAAAAAATAGAACTATTTTTTTCCTATTTTCTTATAAAAAAATAGGAAAAAAAATAGTCCCCAAAAGTTGAACGTGAAAAAAATGGGGAAAAAATAGTTTGTGCTTGAAATTTTTTTCCTATTTCCTTTAAGAAAACAGGAACAAAATAGTCCTATTTTTTTCCTGTTTTCTTAAAGGAAATAGGGAAAAAATAGTCTGAAAAAAAATATAGGTGAAAAAAATAGGGAAAAAATAGTTTGTGCTTGAAAATAGGAAAAAATAGTCCCCAAAAGTTGAACGTGAAAAAAATGGGGAAAAAATAGTTTGTGCTTGAAATTTTTTTCCTATTTCCTTTAAGAAAACAGGAACAAAATAGTCCTATTTTTTCCTGTTTTCTTAAAGGAAATAAGAAAAAAATAGTCTGAAAAAAAATATAGGTGAAAAAAATAGGGAAAAAATAGTTTGTGCTTGAAAATAGGAAAAAATAGGACTATTTTGTTCCTGTTTTCTTATAGGAAATAGTCTGAAAAAAATAGTCTGAAAAAAAATATAGGTGAAAAAAATAGGGAAAAAATAGTTTTTACTTGAAAATAGGAAAAAAATAGCCCTATTTTCTTGAAGGAAATAGGAAAAAAATAGTCTGAATTTCCGGAAAATAGGGAAAAAATAGGTAAAAATAGGGAAAAAATATATTTTCGCAACACACAAAACTACTAGGAGTAGCACATCAATATTGTTATTTGTATAATACATGTATATCATGCTTTTTTGGAATCGTTCAAATGATAATAAATTGACTCAGTCATGCTGAAAGTCACATGCAGGGTGGAAATCTCTCCTTTCAAGACGTAAATAGCATTTAAATAATAGTCTATAAATCCCTGAACAATTTGGCTCCTCCTTATTTAGAGGAGTCCTTCAAATACTGTAACTATTCATATTCTCTACGATCACAAGGAAATATTAAACTCCCCAAACCAAAGAGTGAATGCTGACGTAAAATTTTTGTGTATAAATGCTCACGTGAGTATAATGACCTAACGTTAACTATTAAGCTATCCAACAGCTTTAAAACTTTTTGCAAAAATCTAAATTTAAGAAATTACTTTTGCTCTGATCTGTCATGGAACATGCTTGGGATGGGGGGGGGGTGTTTATGCTTCTCTAATATGTATTAGGTTTTATATGTATATAAATTATATTATTTTATGTTGTATTGTATGTTGTATAATAACTGTTGATATCTTAATTCCTGGACCCCAGAGAAGAACAGTTTTGTTATACTAACAAAGCTGAATGGGTTATCCAGCCATTCACTATTCCATTGTTTTTACTATTTACATGCATTTCCTTTGTATTGTTTTTAATATTGTGATATGGAAAATAAATACCAATACCAATAACAATGCACTGTAAATGAAAATGTGTATATGAGACTACACTAACACGTGGTATGACAGTGCGATTCAACAACCTATTATTACTTGTCATAATTCGAATTATGAGGAAATTTGAATAGCCATCCTGTTCAGGGGACATTTTCTTTTCTATGATACTCGTCCACACTAATATATAAAATTAAAAAAAGAATGAAAAAAGCTCACACGAATTATTTTTCACCTTACTCGACAATCTCTTTAAGAATGAAATGCAGGAATTATCAGTACTAAATTACTGGCATATCTCCCATCATTTACGAAAGGATTATGGTATTTACTAATGACGAAAAGAATGATTGTAATTTTGTTATCATGTAAAATATGCTTCGTGAACAGTACTGTAGGCCTACACAAATTGTAAGTCATTACAAAAATTAATGTGTAACATGGCCTACACTGTAAAAAATAATTTGTTCATTGGTAATTTTTACGTATTTTTTCCATGTAGAATTTACTTGAAAACATTAGTTTTGCCACTTACGCACTAAATTTAAGTCTTGCTAACTCAAACTTTCAATTTAGTAGAACATACGTGGAATATTTAAGTAAAATCAAATACATAAAAACTTTAAGTAATTTCAGCTTGTATTAATTTAGTAATTTTAACTCAAAATCAGAAATTATACGTATTACTCAAACAATTTATGTTGATTATTCTTATCTTTTTAAAGTAAGGACCGATGCAGTGCGTAATAGAAATATTTACATAATTCATGAATATTCATTAAGATCAAATTAAACTCTTTTTTTTTTTTTTTTTTTTTTTTGTGGTTGAATGAAAATTTAAGGACTTTAAAACATTTAATAATTCATTTAACCTGGCTAAGCAAAGACAAGACAATTTTTAATTGTTACCCAGTTCAAAACAAATAAAAACTTGATATTTCAGGAAATTGTCAACCAATTTTCCTTTTAAGATGCTACGATCAAGTATATATAAAATTTGGAGCCTTTGAATATGTGTCGAATTGAAGCGTATGTAAATCTTAAATAGAAGTAGTGTTAGTGATTAGTGATTAATCTTAAATAGAAGTAGTGAATGATTAGTGGATGTTACTTGTTAGATTAGATGGGTAGCAAATCGTGCAATATGTAATCCTATCATAGCTTTTTTTTAATTATCTAAAATGATTACAATACTTAAATTATTTACGCTAATGTAACTCGATTTAACTGAGTAAAAATGTATTCAGCAAAATAAGTAAATTCTACTTAAGATGCCGTAGGTAATATTTACTTAATAAAAATAAGGCAATTCTTTTCCTCAATTTAATTGAGTTATTTCGACTATTATTTTTTTACAGTGTAGTTTGTATGAAGGGAAATGAAATACGTTCACTAATTGGGCTATTTCATTGTGATGTTTTTTTTTTTATAGTACTAAATTACTGGCATATTTCCCATCATTTACGAAAGGATTATGGTATTTACTAATGACGAAAAGAATGATTGTAATTTCATTGTGATGTTTTTTTTTATAGAAACGGGGAATGAACTACCGGGGAACTATTAAAGATCCTGCCTTCCATATAAATATTGGATACCACACCTTTCAAGTTTGGCTTTAGCGTACCTGGGCAGGAATAGGCCACGGTAAACTGAAAGATACGGTCATCGATTTTAACCTGTTTGATGCAGATAACCTTTAATGTTTGTATTTTCAAAGATCTCCGTGCACTAAAGATTCTCTAATCACACACCCACACCCACTTGCGCTTCATAATCTCCTCCTATCATCCTCATACCCATCACCCCCCCCCCCCCCCCCCCCCTCTCTCTCTCTCTCTCTCTCTCCCCTGTCTCTCCTCTCCCTCCCCCTCTCTCTCCTCTCTCTCTCTCTCTGTTTCTCCCTTTCTCTATCTCTTCCTTTCCAACTCTCGCTCGCTTCTCCCCATCTCTCTTCTTCATTTTTGCCTCCTCTCTCTCTCTCTCTCTCTTTTTTTTTCTTTCTTCCAATTCTCCCTCTTGTTAAAAGGAATTGATTGACTATTGAGTAAAGATACATATTCATTTTTTAAGTTACACATTTTATATTTTTATATTTTACCATCATAAGAAATGAAAAGATAGAAACTCACCTCTGATAGGCAATACCCTCCTTGAAAATTCAGCACCAGCCAAAGGAAGAGAACTGTATACGCCACGCCCATGTCTCTATAGAGAGCATCTAACACAATCCGAAAAATCGATCAAAGTTGTACTTGATCTTTCTTGCTGAATGCCTGTACAAAAGTTTAACATCTGCCGTGAAAACTTAATCAAACTGCTATCTGAACAAAATGATGAGTCGTTTGCATGTATTTCGTCCAATTAAGCAGCATCAATATTGTTAGAACTTTAGTCGACAGTATTATTTATTAGTTACAACATCGATACTTTATTCACCGACAGCGCTGAGTTTAGGATTTCTCCCTGGTTCTTCTCCATCAAATGAAGTTATGAAAGCAGTAGCAATTGCTCATATTTTGGAGTGTATTAATACAACAGCTTGGATGGGCAACATGAATGATAACACAATCACTGAAGCGGATCTATTGAATGGATTCCATATTAGTTATTCCCTCTAGAAAGCACCCTACAGACTATCAATATTTCAAAGCACAATGATAATGAACGAACCGTAACCTTTGCGTGACGTCACAAGACGCGATTTGGGCGTC